CAACGTTTCATTGTTCTTGCAGCAACCTTTTTGTGAGAACTTATACGCTAGATGTTTCTTTACGTAACGCGAACGTTTTCGTTGTTGAGGGATGGTTTCATCGTGAAAAATTTTTGGCCAGAGAAAAGGAACAAGGGTTGCGTGTCATCACTCAAAAGGGTCTGCGACTTTCTACATTTTTTGGTCCTGCAGTCTCTGTTGAGATCGGAATTGAAGCGAAATTTTTGCATACGATAGGAATGGCAATGAAGCTCCTGCATGATATTCTTCCATGGCGATAACTCCTGTAAACCGTGTCCGTTGACTTCCTTCTGATGGGTCGCCCAGGATCACGACCGATTGGCAGACAAACCATTTTAATAGTCCTACCTTCGAAATCATTCTACCTTTCTACCTTTCGTGGTTTGTCTCTGATTCAATCTTCTTTTCTATATCGTTTGATAGCCTCTTGTACGGTTCTTATAAAAATTCAAAGAAATTTCATAATGCCCTTCCATCTCTCGCGTGTCAGTGATTGCAGGTGGCATTGAATGAGCCTCCTCCATGTGAAAGATATTGGGAGTTCCACATTAGTGACCATGCATATTGCAAGTAAACCTTCTGATGCAACTAATTAATAACAGGTAATAAGAACTTGATAAATTATTTCTACTTTAGAAATTTCTGTTTTTTTGGCGCCGGTGATTTTGGGACACCCTGTACATAAGGTTTGAGGTGATACGAGCAGGTGGACTTTCTGAAATTTTGGATCTGTCAATGAGTGTACCACGTTGCAGTATCGGAATACTAGGATTATTCGGAGAACCTTCGAGTGGATATAGATGCTTCAGCATTCATGCCTCATCGGAAAAAAAACGTCCACAATAGCGATTGTGGGAACTGAGATTTTATTCTGCTGATTAACATTGCCAAATAAGAGTATTTTTGCAGAATATTGATAATAATGAGGAATGAGTGAACAATGAGAGTTATTCTGACTAATATCGTGAGCGATATATATGTCTCTGTACTATGCCTAGTACAACAGTGAGCCTAGATGGAGCAAATTTTAGGTTGTGTTTCCTGCAGACAATCGCTCATCATCGCTTCGGGTTGTGCGGGGGCCCACCAAGAGCGGAACTATTCCATTATTGCATCATGTGGTATTCTCCGTTGTGGGTAAGTGCAATAGTTTTCCTTTCAAAGAAACTTCCGCACTAATGAGTTTGAGCTTTACAGAGACAATGCATTCACCGTCATACAGCTTGTTTCGATCGCCTAAAATCGAGGATGCCGTTGACTTATGCCGCCGCTGTTTGGAGTGCAAAATACTTTTCAAATTGCTGGGTGTCACAATTTTTCTTCTTTGTGTTATATAATTGAAAAGAAAGGCAATGTATAATAAATAGTAGGGGAACAGTACTTCATTGGGGATTTGGCAAGCTGTTGTAGTTGTCAGTATTTTTATTTTTTTCAAAGCTTTTCGTTGAGCAATCTGTTTCAATGATACTTCTCTGCAGCATTCAGATCGTTCGAAGGGTGTCAAGAAATCTATCCAGGAATTAATGGCATGTTTACGGCAGTATCCTTTGTATCGGATGATCCACATTGCTATCGCATGTGATCGTTTGGATTTGTTTACTGACTCTAATATCCAGTACATGAACACCGAGTATAAACCCTTCAAGAGGTGAGTAGAACCGAGGCTTCCATTTTTAATGTTGTGAGTTCACGACACCTTGTATACTTCAGTGCAGTTTGTACTTATCCAGAGCACTCTCTTCTTGTCTAACTCACGTCAGGCAACGGATGCAGCTGGGCCGCGATCTTCCTCAAACAGATGTGGCTTCTTTGCCGTTCCGCTCTCCTAAATGAGTAACTAAGCCGACCAATCAAGACCCATTCGCGAGACAAATATTTATTAATCAGAACGCGTTGTAAGGGATTGGGTTAACTACATCACCTGCTGCCTTTACTTTACATTCTGCTCCTGATCTGTTGCAATAATAATAATCATGCATATCACCACGAGGGGGAGGGTGTATATTCCAAAGAAAGGTTAGTTATTAAAATATGCATACCTCCGTTCAAAGCGTTCTAGAAATCGGAAAAGGGAGGTCGAAGGCTGTTGATGTGGTCAGATCTCTGAAGTGGGTCAATTTGTCCTAAGGCGGGCGGGTCCAAGATCAAAATTCCATAAATCTATTCAACAATGCCCTAAAAGTGAAAAAATTGGCTAGGGGTGGGGTGAGCGAGGCTAACAAACGAAGGATAACTGTTGCCAGCGGTCATTCAAGATGATATCGCTGATATCGAATCTGTGTCCAAAATCTGCTAGACGATTCAGCGAACAAAGATACGGAGACGATTGCTTTCTGTGTTATACTGTACTGAACAGATAACCGAACCGAGCAAAGTCAGAGCTGTGCAGTGGTGGCGCAGCTGGTAGGGCGATGGACCGGTAGGCATGACATTAAGGTTCGATTCTTGATGCAAACGGAATGTGCTCGTTTTGCTTCTCTATGAAAAGCGTTCTGAACGCTCGCAAAACGTTATTGGGTTCAATATTGGCCATCTACGGAGCTCCCTCACATTTTAGGATTCCGGGAAATAGTAATCCGATAAAAAAATTTTACCGTCACTGACCAAATGGACACGAATCTCTACCTCTAACACTCAAGATAGTGTTTCGAATTTTCGGCAGCTCCTTGCACTTACCGTAGATTGCGGCGAATGACTCAGCTGACTAGAGACCACTTTGGAAGGGATACGGTCCTCATCTCAGAGGGATACTGTCCGCTGGTTCGAGTTAACTAGCATCTTCATGAACAATACTGTGGAACAATAGTTGATCGACTTATGTGCACATCTGGTAATACACTAATTGTAAGAAACCCTATCTCAAGATAATCGTGGGTCATACGCTGGAATATGATGTCAGGGTTGGACTTAAAACCCTGAACCAACCTTCATCTTGCTGGGAACTTGGGCTTTATGAGGATTTCAATGTTGATTTTAAGCGTCATCGGGTGGTAATGAGATTTCTATAATAATTTTATGATGACTTATCCTTCCAACGCCTCCGCAAGTCTCCATGGACAAACAGATCGGTCTGTTTGTTCTTAATAGTTACAACCAGATAAAACATCATAATTTGTAGAAAATAGACTAATTTGAAAGCGCATATGTAGTTTCTGTTGTGGGTCACAACTAGTCTACCTGTCTACCTTGGGCAATACTTTTGATAACTCTTGAGACGATACCAAAAGCGTAACCTATCAGTGTCTTGAGCGTGCGGTCAAGTAGGTAACCTAGGCATTGCTGTTAGCGCGATGCACCCTTTCATCCCGCTGCTTAATTGTACTTATACGGTCCATTAAGGATGTAGTATTGGAGCACCGCCCACATTCATCCTACTTATATGATAGCCTAAGTGTGTCTGTTGGTGTGTTTGTGTATGTGTGCGTGTCTGACCGGGAACTACTAACTCTTGTCCCCATGGGCCCAGAGCATTCAAATTTGGTAGGAGTACAGGCGGCACGGTGGAAACACTCATCTATTATGGGTAGCAAGGCCGGGCCCCGCCCACATTGGGCGGAGTTTTAGCGGAATTTCATAACTGCTGTCCCCATGCACCTAGAGAGTTCAAATATGATAAGAGTATAGTCGGCAGGATGGGGATGCTGATAAGAGGCGGCATGACTTGACTCCGCCCACAGGGGGCGAGACGAACACGAAAATAGCTAATTTATACCCAAGGCGTTCAAATTTGTAAAGTGTGCACGCGGCAGATTTAAGACGCCGATGTTAGGTAGTAGAAAGTAAATGAAATTGATCCAGCGGAAGTGTAGGGAGGATGTGGGGGGCGGACCATGCGTGAAGTGAGCGTACTTCGAGTGAAACACGCAGTCAAATTGGAATGTGAGGGACTGAACACAACTCTCGAAGTGTGTCTATGTGTTTAGCTGTAATTCGAGAGCTCCTGTTTTCTTGGACCAGAAATATTAAACTTGGGAGAGGTCAGAGGGCGGGTCAACCTAAGCGCAAGAGGGAGGGGAGTCCGGCGTTGGCCGGGCGATGCGATTGGTAGGCACATAAGTTAGCAGCCTTATTGTTGGACACTATACACATCGTAATAAAGCTTACACTTGTACGGTCCAGTCGAAATTGGTGCATCGACCGTCGCAACCAACTTCCTTCTGCGCTAGTTCTCCACAGTGAGAGACAGGAGGTAAAGCAATGAAGCCTAACCCCGAGAACTCCTCCCTGAGGATCACGGAAATAAGGCAGTCACTTGTTTTCTGTTGTCCTTCTGAAAACAAAGACAAGAACCTAATTTCTCTTCAATCTTCTCTGAGGGAACGAAATGGAGGCGGAACCATTCTCCCCTTCGAGAAGTAGAGGAAAAGTTCGTTTTCCATCAGCTGGAATCAACAATTCGGATTTTCCTGCTATTCCTCTGTGGGGAATAAGAATTTCTGGAAAAATCATCTGAGCTAGCTCTCCCTTGGATAAACATACGATTTAGCCAGTTCTTTCCAACTCAACGGACAGAGTAGTCACACTTTCCGAACTAACCCCTCTAAGAAAGTATGAATCTAACAGCAGACCTCTGAGCAAATTATCCCCAGTGAGAAAACAGAAGTGAGCCAATTTGTTTCCTGCGGACTGAGGAACTCTAAAAGAAAGAAACAAAGACCTGCATGACAGGAGCAACTCTATTGCGGAAACAAAGAAAGGTCTAATAAGCCGTTGTAACGCTCTAAACTTGCCGAAATCTTGTTGACACGTGGTCCTAAAAATCATATAATGGCTGAAATCAATAAATTGAACCGAAACATCTGTGTTTCTCATGTAAATGGAGGAGTGAAAGGAGTGCATCAATAAGCGAGGACTTGCTGCTGAAATACAGTGCGTCGTCAAATGATACAGCCACCTCTGATTTTCCCAAAAACTCACTGTGTACGATGTTTCTGAAAAACTGCCAAAGTAAAAATGTGTCAAATTT